GAGCGTTTTGCGAACTAATCTCTGGAATTCACTGAAACTTTAGGATGGCGTGAATGGCGGATTGCGAAGCATATCTACTATATAAGTTCATCCGTTTTTTAATTCGCATTCATATGAACATGTTGGTTGGTTTATTTTTTGTCTGGTTCAATATCCTTTCAAAGAGCCATTTTACCCTTTTTCTCAACGAATTCTTCATCGAATTTTCTCGCGTATCGCCATCCTTCTTGCCCATTCTCGCTATCATCTTCGCTTGGAACAATCACCCACTCTGAATCAACCCAATTCCAGTATTTATTCGGAAGTCTAAAAAATGACTCGCTTTGTTTCCTGTCCTGGAACCGTTCTTATCTACCCTAGTGAGGTGAACGAAGAAAGGATTCTTGTCAAATGTGAAGTCATGAGGAAATTCCTTCACATAACGTAATTCGTTGACAGTCTCTGTGAGCATTCTGACTTGACTTTGCTTCTAAGCGAGCATATGCTTGAATGCGATGTTCGAAAAGATATCATTGAGTACTTCCATCACAAACCTTGTCTCAGTTTTCGTCTTAAGCACTTGTCCCGTTTCATCCGACCATGCGAAGTACTTACCCATCGCCTTACCATTAAAAGTTGAATAACCGCTCAACAAACTGTATTTTTGTGTTTCCAAAACAATTTCCAGCTTATCATCGCTCTGTGTTAAACCCAGTTGATCAGAACGATCCACATCATCGGCTATAACATCGAATTCGGGCGAAAGTACCCAAGCAGTCCCATTCTGCAAAGTATTTCACCAAATCAGAGGGTGGGAAGGTGGAAGTCAGTAATAAGGACACGAGAATTTAAGATTGAGAGAATAGGAAAATGTTGTCAGCAAAAAATGATAGGAATTTACAAAATCATCGCAAACAGCATAATGATAATGTAAATAGATAGAAACTAATAGATGGTACCAAAATTATTCAGACTATAACAATTTATATGAACGCATCAGATCGAATGAACTGATTCTAGCTTCCCGAACGCAAAAGACTTCAATTTCAAACCTGTGCAATTGCCCATACGATCCCTTCACAACCGACTGCTACAGATTGGAAGGAGCCTCGTTGTTGAATCCAACGATGCATATCAAACGGCAAATCGCTGACCTGAATCAAAACGATCTAAAGGCAAATCAAAATCACATTTCAAGATAACGAATTATTGATCAGCGCTTAGAACATTTGTGAAATTTCAAAAGACCTACTGAATGAGTGTCGTTCAAGTGAACACTCGAAAGTATCGCCATTCTTGGTTGATACTGCGCACTCACAGCCCATATGAATGAACGATCCGAGAGACGTGGAACACAACGAATACAATTTGAAATAGCCTGAATCATTACGGTTAAATGTGAAAAAGCATGAGGATACAGTGGAAAATGCATGAAAATCACATAAGAAGAAGTCAAATTATTATTTCAGTATGATCCTATTAATAGTAGAAACAGGAATGCTGTTACTGAATTGAGCATTTGAACATTTTATGTAAACGATTCTGAATGAATATGTTCATGAAGCAAAGCTCAATGAAGTGGCGAAGTTATACATTGAAGAAAATATATCAAATTTTCAACATTTGCATAGACCAGATATACTCGATTAGAGGAGAAGCGGAGGGATGAACCTTCTGAAGGATATCACTCCATTGATCTCTTTCATCTTCACTTGCAAATGCGATATTCAACGTTGTCCTATTCTGTGTTGTACGCACCTCAAGAGCATTCTTCCAACGGCTATCACAGAAAGCAAACGCACCCAGTAACTGCAAACATACTCATTCCATTTCACCAATGTAGATTTCTTCAGAAAAACTCGAAAAAAATTTTGTCACGATTGGTTTATTCGATGAAACTAAACCTCAAAAAAATCTGCTTGAAAGCTTCCACCACGTCGAAAATGCAATCGTATGGTGCCCTCGACTGAATCGCTCACGAGTAAATGAGCCATACAATCGATCCAGTTCAACGACCTCCACGTACTCAAACTGGCGTGGACATTCGCGGTCTTTGTCCAAGACTCTAATGGACGATTTGGACTGTTCGGATGTGACAGTGTGGCAGTTTCAACATCTTGGAACACGTTCCATAGCAATTCGTTTCGATTATCGAGTAGACTGATAATCTGTACAGGGTTATGGATCAACTTTGATATTCTTCTCATGACTCAGCAGAAAAATACTCATTCATTTCTTTGGCGGATGAAATGAATTTGTTATTGAATATTCGACAGGATTTAGATGGTCAAAATAAGATCTGCATCAAAAAATCGAGCACATAATGCTTTTCATAAACTCTTTGGAGCAGTCACACCCGCTAATAACACACGATCTAAAAGATTTGTCAGTAACTAGCAGCAAACAATCCGACCTGCTGACGCCACTCTGATTTCAGGTCGGCAGTTGCTGAACAGTCGCGAGCGATGAAATTTTTATCGATCCAATGCCTCGGAATGCGTTTCGCGACTATCGCACAATTTCCTGTTTCGACCTAGAAGCGAACTCAAATCTCAGTGGTTTTAAAATATTGAGCAACCAATGAAACAAATATCCATTGCAGAATATACCGACCTCAATTTCAGAATAATATACCGAATGTTTTTGTGCATTCTTTGTTCAATTGACCAATTGAACAGATCAAACTCAGTGTTCATGTCAGATAACAGAACCCTTCTGTACAATCCACTATCTGATCAATCATAAGATGCTGGAGTGGCTCACCTGTCTCCATTTGAAGTTCATATCACCACGTGAACCATCTCTTGCTACAATCTCCAACCACGATCTTCCACTCAGCTCATCATCTCTCACATCGCTTCTTATGAACATCCGTTCATCACGTTGTGATATACCCAAAACCTAGAGTATTTCTCAGCTTCATTGGATCGATTGACATTCATCCCAGTATTCAGTTGCTCATTGATGGATATGGGGATAATCCCAGGAAAGGTTCAAAGCGATGAGATATAGATGACCTGGTCATTGCTAGTCACCGAAATGCGACACATTCCGTCACCCATCGACGTGTAGCTATCAGCAGTGATACACTTACTCAGATCCGGATATACGCCTAGTGCTGCGCCTTTTACGCTCGTCATCCACAACTTGAAATTGATTATTCAAAATTCATCGAATTATCCATCACACACTGACTGATAACGATCAAAAGTAAATTCTTTTTGGATCAAATCTATTGTAAATGGGAAAAACGCGCCACCATGCATTGAAACGATATCGCATAAACGAAAATTCGATGCTTTTCCCTGCGCATTACAAAAATCTGTATGAACGGAGATAACTGGAAACTTTCGGTTCGGTTGGTCCTCTATTGAGAAAGGAACTGTGAATTTTACGATTGATTGTCTGAGGGCAGTTCACATTTCATAGCGATCAGTAGGGTGAAAATGAATCCTCAGAACCAGATTCCTGGCTATGAACAAGTGATTCAAATCGAACCCTTCCACTAGACGTGACCATCCATAAGGCTCGTCGTCCCATTGCTACACTGATCACTGGCAGATTGCACGGTGACGCAAATGATCTCCATCCTTTACCGTATGGACATTTTGACGTGATACCGACACGACAGAATACAAGACCATTCCATGTGATTGCTATTAGTAAACCGCAACTCGCGGAACAACTTATCGCTGCTATTTCATGATAGGTATCCTCTGAAATGCATCTTATCGAAATCACCCGCACAAATATCCAAACACACTTCGCATCAACTTCAAATTGATTTTTTGCTGATCACATATTACACTAACTCATCGAAGTAGATTGAGTTAAATTGATGAATGGAATGAAAGGATATTTTGAGATAGAGGCATCAAGTACCTTTCAGAGCACAAATTTAAATGTTTTATTTCAGCTGGATGATATAAAGAAGCAGCTTATAGTCTCAACTAGGTGACATATGGTTGAAAATGAAAGAAGGTCTACCGGAAAGGATTTCAATCCAGATTTTGCAAAGGCAGGCACAGAAAAATAATTCGTTCGCGGAAGCCACTCAACAGACCTTCAGAGGTATTTGGGATCGGTTCGATTTGTACCCATCCAGAGCCTTCAGGGCAATTCTTTTGAATACCTTCACGCCAGTACAGATCACCATCTAGTGATAGAGCAAAAAAACTGTACAGATCAGATGCTGATGATGACGATGTGTTATTGCCATTGTTGGTGCTACTGCGGTTGTTTTCTATATCGAAGCCACCCGCACAAATATCCAAAAACACTTCAGATTGCTTCGTTATAGCCATCTAAATTGGCCAATTTACTTCAACTTTTTGCTTTGCTTTTCAGCATTTGTTAGTGAAATGCCGTTTCTCGATAACACCATTGATATCCGAACACATCGCTGGTTTTTCAATTCTTTACCGTGAAGTGTTTGTTGTGTGAGCTACAGAACGTTTTCGTTCTCAATCTGACAATAAGGTGATCAATGCTGATGCTGCTGGTAGCAGTTATGGAAGGTTTAGAGGCAAAACTTCGTTTTGGAGTCTCACCTGAACCCAACGGCACAATGCAGTGTAGCGTCTAGCTCTTAGCCATCGCCTTCGGCGAACAAAGGTCATCGCCGATTGAGCGTTACGATAGGTCACATTGGCACCAAAATTGAAAGCGTATTGCCAACCCTCAACATGAAAAACATTCGTTTTTACTTTCAGACAATCAAGAGGTTTTCTTTCATTGGGTATCAACAAATAATGTCTGGATTGTGATTGCCTCCAAAATCAGTTTTACTTCTGGATTTCAATGAATCGTTGTATTGATAGCAACATATTGGATATCACGTTTGATGAATGGACTGTGAGAATGGTATCATAATAATTGCATGTCTATGACAATCGACAGGTTTAACTGCCGTCGACGGTCAGGTGGAGAAGATCGCTTCTCCACTTCAGTCTACATTCCATCTTCCGATCAAATTCCAGTACTTCAATCGAACTACAAATAACTGAAAGGACCTCTTTGTCGAAATGCTCTTCACTCGTGTCGATCATCCACGGTTGTTCCCATTTCCAGCCATCAGACGGTAGCTCGAAACTGTCCAAAGGTTGATTTTGCTGACCAGTTTCATCTGAAAACGACCACCGATCGGTGGGCAAGGTTCGCGATGACCAACCGAGCCCAGGATACCATCTCTGAAATTCTCGAAATGATTATTATTTCATAAACCATTCATATTGAGTAGTTGGTCTGTTGATCACACTGGGCGATCGGTTAAATGTTCATCATGTTATGAGTATTTACTGAATTGGATTGGTATTCGGCTGAGTTATATGATACTAAGCGCTTATAGCACGGATATTGCTAACAACTAAAACTGATGAACTGGAGAATGAAAGGTAAAAAAGAGGCAGCTCCTTTTGGATTTGATCTTCGTTCTTGCGCTGATCTACACAACACAGGTGGATGACCGAATGAGCGCAATAATGATTTTTAAGCATTATCGTTTCTCATAATCTAATCTAAAAGATCAATTCAGTTGACGAATGCTTTCGGAGAGAAATTCTCTAGAGAGCTGAACGATTTTCCACCTGATTTTCATAGGTTGAAACAACGAAACGTATGGCTGTGTGCGATGGACACACATACAAATAGCAATAGCCATGTCGATCCAGGGCGATTATGTGATGTTTTGTGGCGACAACTTTTTGGATTCGTATTTGTTGATGATCAAAATCCGCGAAAACAGCCTCGTTGATCCAATCCAAATAGTCATCCGTATCTAGATGGCAGGACGTCAGAGCAAACGAAAGGTCAAAAAAACCTTTGTTAAGCATTAATTGATTCGAATTTTGGATGGGAGAAATTGTTCAATTGGGAAATTATGAGAGCTCTTCTTTGCTTACGAAAATGACCAGCAGATATCAATTTAATGGAGATCAATGAGAATCTAGATCGCTTCTGACAACCATATGAAACTTACGAGGTTCGCTTGATGCGTTCAAACGGTGTGGCCTACCGGCGTCATCTAATCCCCACAGAGAACCACCCGGATGTATCATCATGATTCATGTAATTCTTACGAATACAGATGATCAAATGGATGTTTAGGAAGCACTACTACAACTCGCTATCCAGCATCTCACGTACGTGAATAATCACAAATTCAATATCTCTGAAATAACTGGAAATACCGCAAGATGGAATTTTGATTACAAACAACCTCATAAAACACATCAGGTTATGGGCGATTAGCGTAGAAAAAAAGAGATAACAAAGCGATTCGTGTTTGAGGTTTGGCATGCACATGATCTCTTTTCTGTAGATCACGCAAAATTCTTTCATTTTGAAGCCACTGAACTGTTGGCTATATTACACAATCAACGAATTTCGCATTTGTTCACGATGAAAGAACCCACTTGAATGCAGCATGATTGCCTAACACATGTTCAAATTATGTAACGGTCTGATTGTGAGCTTGAGGACCATCTCCTGGCTGTGATATAAAATAAATTCGTAATTTTAAGTGCTGAAGTCTTGCATTCCTATTCCTCGAGATCTTTCAGATGAACTTCACTTAAATGTCGTCGACAGTCAAAACGGTAACGCAAAATTACGATCCAAGAATGTGTAAGGGTAACGAAAAAATACTATTGTATGATAGAACTGTCGGACGGCAATATTAAATCAAATAGAACGATTCCAATAGAATCGATGAAGACACGCACTTGATCAGTATCAATGCTGGTGTCTATTTCATCAATTGAATCATAACTCGTAGAATGGCAATAGCTCTCTCGATAAGATCTCCAGATTCGGGCAATTGCATGCTCTCTCTCTAGCTCACGCAACGGAAATAACAATCCGGTTGCTTGAACGAGATTCAATAAAATCAATGAAAGACACTCATTGATCGATAGCTGAACGAACAGTTTCTTTATTGAAGAATAATATATTATAGTGAACACTTATTAAAGATGAATAACATTCACAAATAGAACATGCGCAAAATAGCACAAATACAC